AATACAACAATACAACAAATTAAAGGATAATACAACAATACAACAAATTAAAGGATAATACAACAATACAACAATACAATATATGGCAAAGGTGTTTCAATACAACCTAATGGTTTTCATCATTTAATCAGTCCGTATTGCTAGGTCCGTCGTCTTGGAAAAGTTTTCTTCTCATCACACCCTGAATCCCTCTATAAAACTACACCATCAACTCATACCTCTCACACCAGCTCTTATCTATTCCTTCATTTCTCAGATTTTACAAAACACTTTCTACTCTCAATGTCAAACTTGAGAAGGGTGTTGGAGAGGCAACAGAAACAAAGGGAAGAAATCCGGCGTAGACGTGCTGAAGAAGATCGGGACGCCGGTGAATAAGAGGAACAAATGCTTGCAGCAGCGGTGTGTATGCTTAATCAATCAAGGCAACACCGTCGTCGTGCCCCGAATGTGGACAGACGTAGGGAGTCTCGGGGTAAGAATCTCTTGGAGGATTACTTTATCCCAAATTCCTTATATCCTGTTTCTAAGTTTCGAGAGAGATATAGAATGCAGCCACAGTTGTTCCAATGGTGAATCGGTTGATGGCGAATCGTGGAGCGGCGTCTCATTCAACACAACCGGCGGACCGGTGAGAATAATTTTGAATCTCGAACAATTCTTCACAACTTCCCAACATTGGAAATGCACAAAACTTTTTTTGCCTTGCCCCATGGCACCGAACCACATTTGTGCTTGTATGATCTATTAAAAATAAATAATTGGAAGTGCAAGAAAAAAAAATTATTATGCAAGAAAATATAAACTATTTTGAAATGCAAGAATAAAATTGATTATGCAAGAAAATATAGACAAATTGGAAATGCAAAAAGAAAAAAAAAGATTATGCAAGAAAAAGAAATAGAATATGCAATAAAAAAAAGTTACATTAAATTGATTAAAATGGAAATTATAAAGATTTTACCTCATCGGATAGATTTTGACCGTTTCGAATGTTCTCCCTTGCTTTTGCCAACGCATTTCTCCATTTCCCTAACTCTTTATTTAGAAGTTTCCATCTACTAGACAAGGCCATTTCGGTCCGAATGGAACCCGATCTTTGACAAAATTCTCCATGAATTTTGCTCCACATATGATGGAACTTCATCTCATTGCCCGTGATAGGGTCATGACTAACGTTCACCCAAGATTGACACAACGCAATATCTTCCTGAGTTGCCCACGAGCCTCCGGTTTCGACAGAGGATGTCATTTGTTTTTTTTTTTATACAAATGGAAAGTAGTAGAAAAATGTGAGTGGAGAGTAAAAAATATTGGAAGGAGAAGAGTTTGTATGGAGAATTGGTGTGGAAAGTGAAAATTGTGAGTGGAGAGTAAAAAATATTGGAGGGAGAAAAGTTTGTATGGAGAATTGGTGTGGAAAGTGAATATTGTGAGTGGAGAGTAAAAAATATTGGATGGAGAAGAAATCGTATGAAGATTTGGTGTGGAAAGTAAAAAAAATGGATAGGTATTTATAGGGAAAAAATACAGACTTTTTTGGTTTTTTTTTTTTTAAATTTCAGATTTTTTTCGATTTTTTTTGCAATTTTTTAAGCCCAAAAAACGAGGATCGTCGGATATCTGGAAAAAAACCCATCGGAGAGCCCCAGGTTGCAACACGTGGCAGATGCGCTGAAGTCAATTTTTTTTACCCTAAAAAAAATTTGAATTGCCACGAGCTGACGTCAGCGTGACATCAGCCCTGATGTCACAGCCCTCGGGCTGAAGCCCAGGCGAAACTTGCCCTTGGGCTTGCCCGGGCTGGTGGGACCCACGCCAAACTGGGCTGCAGTCTGCAGCGCTGGAGCGCTCTCGGGCTGTTGAGGGGGGCCTTTTGCCCGGGTTTGGACCTGCGGTGGAGTTGCTCTTATAGAGCACAATTTTGTGATTCGTGGCCCAAATATTGAGCACGAATAGTCTTTATATGTGCTTTTATTCTGAAAAGTTGATTAGATGTTTTTATAGCTTCCACAAAACCACAATTCTGAAATCGTGCTCAATAGTCTTAAATTTTCAACAACAAAAATTAATTCATAAAACTTTCTCGGACCAAAACACATAATTCAAAAAACAAACAACAAAAACATGAAAGAAAAAAAAAGGCTCAAAAGTGCTACAAAATAGTGTAAAAATGATCAAACTAACATTTTTGTTCCCTCACCTATTCTTAGCATAGCAAAAAAAAAAATCCAGAAAATCAAAACCCCCCACAAATTGCAATGTCTTTAAGAAACAACAAAAACACGAAGGCCTCGTTTGGCTGGCAATTAGAAAACCATTTTCAAAAATTGGAATTGAATCTGCATCTTTGAGTTGGAGTTTTATTCTGACTTTTTTGAGAACTTGAAAATTTGTTTGGTATTAAAAATTGGAAACCTATTTTGTAGTATGTGTGGGGTATTTTAGTAAAGGCTTCTTCTCAGGCATTTGTTCCAACATGTTCTCTGCATAAAACAACAAATCCATCCATTAATTTCAAAAACTTCCAAAATCATACAAAAAATTGGAAGAATTAAAAGGAAATTCTGGAAGAGTAAAGAAGAAGTCACATTCGATCTCTCAGCTACCAAATAAAAAATTAGACAAAAATTTATATAATTATAAAGGATAAGCTATGAAACCCAATGAAATCAGAATGGTATAATGAGAGGAGATATGAGATGGTGGTGGGGTTTACCAGTACAGATGACAGATCTTTGGAGGAGAGGAGTGAGTTATAAATCTGGAGGTTCAGGTCTAGGTGGTGGTCGTGAACGGTAGTGGCGTTGAACACAGAGAGAGTTCAAGCGACATGAAGAGGCTGAGAGAGATGTTTATCGGTAGCTGAGGCAGTGGCGTGGATCTGATCTATGCTGTAGAGGCGACATGGTGGCAGTGCCGATTGTGATTTTCGGTTGGTGGTCATAGCAACTAGAGAGAGAGAGAGAGAGGGTGAGAAGTTTTTCAAGGGAGAAGAGAAGGCGTGCGTTGAGATATTTTCTAGGGTTGGACTGATAAGAGGAAGCTAAGTTTTTTTTAGTTAAAAGGAAGCACAGTTTTTCAAACTTAGCAAAATAAAAATTAGACAGACTTGAAAATAAAATAAAAAGTTACACCTCATATAAATTATTGGGCACAAATATAAGTTTTTGCGTCTCTTATTGTCACAATTGGGCACAAATTAGTTTTTGTGTCTTATATTATCACATCACGTGTCGTGTATTATAATATTTGTCAGATACAGACACAATTATTTGTGTCTATATTAAAAAAATTGATTTTTTTTTTAGGAATTTGTGAGATAGCACGTGGATCAATGTATACAACTAAATGAGTGTTGAGGCCCAAAAATCCAAGGGCTAGGCCCAAGTTTATTCTTGGCCCAACACAAATAATCAATCACAAAAGAAGCCCAATTGGGGCATAAAGAGAAATTGTAGGACACACCTACATGAGCCGCGGGTCATGTGTCACGCCAAGCAAGTATGCGCGTAAGGACCAAAAATGCACCAGCCTTATAAATTCACACTCACCAACCTATCCGATGCTATTTAATCCGATCATGGCTTATTATGGCGCAATCACAAGCACGATAAATAAACACGCAATGCCATGTGAAGGACCGCCACGCTAATGCCAAACCATGCTACGAGCTCAAGTGGGCCCACGCCACGTAATTACTCAGGGCTTGCTGAGAAGGTTGTGATATGGATGGGTACGAGCACTCACAAGGCCCATTGAGGGTTCAAGGAATGAAAGTTTTAGGCCACTTGAGAGCATTAAAACTCAAGCCCATTCCCCGGGCCCAAATACATGGGTTAGCATGAGAGAGGGAAAAATGGGATCCAATGCCTTAGGAGAACATCTCGTAGACTGCTGTAGCAATTAGGCAATGCCACGTTAGTTAAAACGCTCAAAACAAATAGGCTACTTCCAGCAGCTTGACGAAAACATGCGGGCCGCTAGAAAAAGGAGCACCAATAACCCAATACCTGTGAACGAAGCCCAACCCAAGTCCTTGTTTAAAATTTGGCATCATGTTCCACCCCTGACTAAGCTCCACAAACAGCCAACAAGAAGCCATTGCAAGAACCAAAGGAAATCCATGTGTGTAGGAGGAATACCCATTGGACAAACGACTCTATCCATTCTCCTTTTCCTTTGCAAACTCCAATTTGAAAACCAAGGGAGAAAGAAGGTGGCGCCTCATCCCTATGAGGAGGTCCAGCCACATAAAACCTTGGAAACCCAAAAAACCTTTGACTCATGCACTCTGGTTGAAGGGATTTCACAAAAAGGGGGGAATTGGAAAGAAGCAAAGGAAAAGTGGAATGGAGGACTAACGAAATTAGGGTTCCAAATGCCTATAAAAGAGGGCTTCTTCTACCCAGAAACACACACCATTCTAGAGCAAGACCAAGCTTTGTCAAGCAAACTGGAATTTACTCTAGACACCCCATCTTCTACTTCCATCGTTGTTTTCTCTCTTTCTGAGATAGAAATCCTCCTAATTTTCCCTTCTCCACTCTGAACTTTCCCTTCTGAAATAAATTCATGCTTTTATCTCTCTCTCTCAAATTGCTAAACTTGTGAAGGCTTAGCTCCTATTCCCCCAAGCTCCTCAAGCCAAGTCACTGATCAATTTGTTACGTTCCTCTAGTTGTTGGTGAAAAGAACCTGAAAGTGTTTTTCTAAGGTTTTAGCAAGCCTTTTAAAACTTTTTTGGGAGCCCGGTTCTTGAACTCAGGCATCGGGGGTTTTGTTCGTTTTCTTCTTACAACTGCCCAAGCCCATTCGTCAGGCTGCTGAAACAAAAAGACCCCTACAATGAGCATGAATCTTTGTGTCCAGTTTAAAAACTATGCTCTATGTACATGAAATTGGCACAATTATTTGTGTTTTATATGAAAAGAGCACATATAAGACCTATTTGTGCTTAATATTAGGAAGAGGGGCACAATATTGTATTTGTGTTCTTATGTTCGTGCTTGTTGACGAGTTTTGTAGTAGTGTTGCTAGTGTTGCTCCTATCCTTGATGTCCCTCACTTGCAGAATTAAACCCTACAACGTCGAATAGTGTACTGGGTCATCATTGACAAATTCAGTAAGCTTTTTACATCTCGTATGAGTAAACCGCAACAAGTAACATATGTATCTTTTCACATAATTAACATCACACATGCACTTATTTAGAGCATCACACAATCCATGTATTACCACGGTAATCTCAATATAGTACATCACAATTCTTTTGCTTTCTCATAATTGTCAAGTCACTCACTGAAATCCAAAAACTCTCTCTTTAGAAACCCACATTTCATCACTTTCTGACTAACAGAAGTCAGAATACATTGAATCTCTCATCTCCCATCATCACATCATCACATCATCACATAGATACTTAATGTTGCACTATACTCACACTACCCAATCTTTAACCAACACATAAGTGAGTATAGTACACGTTCATGATCACACACATGAACCAGATGGCGATAGACTAGAGCATTAACAATATTTGGATCTTTCACCCAAGGGTTTTAATTCCTAATTGTCGCCATGAGATATGCCCACTTGACACTCATGAGGGATTAAAGATATTCTTACCTCTATCCATCAAACCAAATCATTTTGATTCCGAAAACAATTGAAGTGTCATTTTCACATTAAACATTGTTTTCTAACAAATACAACCATCACATTTTGTGTAGGTATTGCCTTTCTACCAATAAATTGTATTTGATTATAAGGAGATATTATGGCTTGCACATGAACACTATCTATAGCACCAATACAATCCTACAAGTGATAAAAAGATAAACATAATATTAATCATAATAAATCATATACAAATATTTAAGAGTAGTAGATGCAATAGTTACCTTAAAATAAGGCATATATCTAGAATCCTGTATGATTTTCTGTGAAGTGTAGTTAAATGCATTTTCCAATGGTTTGGTTACATCCACAGCTAAACGACAGACAATATCAAGTAAGATACCAAAATATCTGCTCACAGTCTCACCAGAATGTTGAAAGCGATCATGTGGTTGCTTATTTGCACAACTTGTTTGGGCCTAAATTTGATACGCCCAGTCCAAAGTCAAAAAAGCCCACGTCATTTTTTACAGCCACCAAATAATTGGGCCAAGGAAATATACACTCAACACAAACATTCAAAACCCAGAAACCATCAAACCACAAGGATGACTTGGGCCTCAAAAAAACCCAAATTGGGCTTGAGAAAGGATATACCCATAAAAGGAACAGACTCACATGACCCCTGACTTGGAAAAGTCAGCAATTTCAACTGAGGAATTAATAGAGAGCTAGTAGCAGCAGGCTTAAAAAGAAGAATATTTCTGGAAAAAGCTCTGCCATTAGAAACATTAGAGTTTTTTCTTTTATTATAAACAGAGATATTTTTTCTGATTCAGAGAAGGCACCATTTTCAAGGGATACGCAGACCATGCTTTCTAAAAAAGGAGATAAGCAGGAAACAGGGAGTTGCTAAAATGGAAAATCACACTCACCATCACAGTTTGAAAGAGCAGTTAAATTGGAAAAAAGGAGGTGAGGTTCCCCATCAAAAACAGGGAAGTGACTGTCTTAAGAACTGATCATTAAGGGCTTAACTGCCAGAAATTGATAAAACCCCCTTTCTTTTGCTTTTAAAACAAAAGATCTTTTGAGATTGTTTGCCGCCCATTATTAAAAGAATTAAAACCCCCGCTCCCAAAACATTTCTTATAAATACAAGAGAGGGAGAACAGAGCAAAGGACGATCAATCAAACAACCAAAAATCAACCAGAGACAAAAACTCAAAATGATCACTTGATTCCAAAAGCCTTCAAACAGCTATCAGTCAAGACACCCAACTTCAGTCCAGACTTAGAGAAATAAATCATTCAAAATGAGATTTCTCTCGTTACAAATTTGGTTCAGCATAAGTCAAAGCAAGCAGAGTTCAGTTTTCTACAAATATGAAAACCTCAACAAATTTATGAAGAGTCCTGATTAAGCAGGATAGATACCACAGTGAAGCTCCAGCTCAGTAGTCAGTTCCAGCCACTTCTGCCTCTTCCAGACTAAAGAAGTCCCAATTCTACCCGATCAAAAGCTTTCCAAGGTTTGAAATAAATTAAAGCTCTGCCAAACTTGAACGTTGGCATCGATTTGCAGTTGAAACAGACCAGTTGAAGTTGTTGATAGTCCAGTCCAGCACTGACATACCCAATCCAGCCCGGATCAAAAACATCTGCCCAGACAGAAATGGAAATCCAGTCATCTTTTTCTCCTTTTGGAGTCAGTTTTTCCTTTTTGAGTCTTGTAAAAGAGAGTTCTGTCTAAAAGTAATCCATTTTCTCACCATCTATTCTGGCCAGAACTATCCTTTTTATACTGTGAAAAATTATGAAGTCCTCATCAGACTGAGGCAAGAAAAGAACTTACTTGGGAGATATTCCTCACCCAAATTCACAATTGTTTGTTCAAGAAGTCAATAACTTGGGGCGCAAGTTATCTTTTTAAGAAGTCTGCTAGGATTTTTATTGCTAGTAGTGGTACGCTCGCACAATAAAGAAAGTTGACTTGTTGACCAGTTAATGGTTTTCAAGGCAATGAGGAACTTTACCCTACCATAACAGGAAACAAATCAAAACGGGTGAACACAACCATGTCCTAAGATGTTCAAGAACATCGCTAACAGCTCAGCAGCACTCATTCTCCTTAAACCCTTTAATTCATAATTGTTTTTTAATTCATCACACAATCTTATAAATATATCTTTATCCATCCCAAGCATACTATGACAATGATTTTTATTTCCTTGTAACATTCCCATCAACCAAATATTTCATGTATGATGGTCATTCATACGCGGGGTCTTACGAATATATTTTACGTAATAAAGTTCAATAAGACGGGTAGTTTGGTTGATCTCCTCCTCATCTTCTGGAATGGACATATTCTAAAATAACATGTTGTTTCCCTCTTTTTGGCCAAGGTGGCCGTTGGAAGGAACTTTTCAT